TCTTGCAGTCACTGGCGTACCTTGCAGTCACTGGCGTATCTTGCAGTCACTGGCGTACCTTGCAGTCACTGGCGTACCTTGCAGTCACTGTAGGCCCAGTTTCCATCAAGAGTGGAGCAGAAAATTATTTTGAACTAGCTGACCCGGCGAACTCTGTTCCGCCTTAAAGGCAATAAATAAGCCATCGCAATTTTTCCTTATTTGCTCACCGTTTAGACCTACCTGGACTATGACAAACATTTTAAAACCAAAATCAGCTCAATCGGCCCAGCCGTTCTCGAGCTTTAATCAGACTAACGAACAACAATTCATTTTTATTTATATAGATAACCAATCAGATTTCACTATATCCACATCGCCACTCGGAAATGTGGAATCGTGGAAATGGATCGCGCGGAAAAGAGAGCAGTGTCAGGCGGACTAATTTTTCTATAGGATTTGAAAGCGCACCGCTCTGCGAAGTGCCGCACCGTTTTCATAGAGACAGCAATTAGACTGACAGCTGACAGCTACGCACAACTCGTCTCGTCTCCTCTCCGCTCCGCTTTGGTGGAAATAGCCTGCCAGCTTCGCCGAACATCTCTCGTCTCCGCTCCGCCTTGGTGGTGTCTAAATTGGTCTTAAAATTATTGTTGCAAAGCAAAATAGCATTTATTAAAACTGAATAAGGTGCCAATGTTTATAACGGCGGAAGCGCCGATACCGGGATGGTTTGACGCCTAGGGAAAATACTATTGATATGATGAATAGGTACAAGTATTTACTTATACTCGGCGACATAGATATGTTATAGTACTTACTAAGCTTTTGCCCGCGGTTTCACCCGCGTAAAATTTATTTTGTCACAGATCGTCATAAATTATAGCATAGATGTTATTCTGGGTTATAAACAATAATACTGTAAAGTTTCATCAAAATCCGTTCAGTACTCTTTGCGTGAAAGAGTAACAAACATCCAGACATCCAAACTTTCGCATTTACTTATAATATTAGTAGAATAGTAGGAAGTAGGACTATACCATCCATACTTAAACTACGTTTATCCAATCTGACTCATTTGACTAATTATTCGCATATTTCACAATTAAGTTAGCTAGTTTTAAAAAACGTATAATTATGTTTCAGCGCGTTACGAGATGCAGAAGAAAAGGACAAAAAATGCCGCGAACGTTCAAAGAAAGCACAACAGCGCACACAAGAGCTCAAGGAGGAAACTGCTAAATACGAGGCCAGCAAGTCGGAAGGGATGGAGACACTAGCTAAAATGAGGAACGATTTCATTAGCGAGGTATTTACTATTATTTTACGAGTTTTTGTCTTTATACTTTACTAGCGGCCGCCCGCGACTTCGTACGCGTGAATCCCGTTTTACCCCCTTTGGTTTTGTAAAATCCCGTCTTAGTGAGCACCTACGTTCTAAAAGGAACCTTCATGAAAAATTTGAGACTCGTACTTGCAGTTTCTGAGATTTCGTGATGAGTGAGTCAGTCAGTGACCTTTCGTTTTTATATAGATAGAAAAGTGCCTGGGAAAAGTCCAAATTATGTATTTTTTTTACAGATCAAATCATTGGAAGAGGCATTATTGAAGAAGGTGACAGAAGCAGAGAAGAGAATAGAAGATAAACTGCGTAATAGGAACTTGTGATAAGTGTAGGTTCTAAGTTAATATTATTTTCTTGAATTTATGAATATGAAGAGAAATAGTGTTGAAACCTGTTCAAACTCAAAATTAATGAATAAAATTGTTATTGTATTATAGTACTGATTTTTTATTGCATCAGTACGGCTGGCACGAAAAACTTTCGAGTTCAAATCGTTTGCGTACTCGAATCGCCATCAAAAGATTTAGTAAGAAAACTACAACAGCGCCCTTGTGAACGTGTCGTAAAGTGAACTTAAGAGCGTTGTAGCAAAAAGTTGACGTTCGAATTTTAGGTTTTCATTGCTTGACGTCGCGTAGTGAGTGCGCAAACTGCATTTATCTGTACAATTTCAACGCTGCGTCGACTAAACGATCTTAATCCGTAGTTGTATCGTACCTAAGACAGTACATCATACATAATAATAAAGAAATAATGTGTAATTTACCTATTTGATTTTTTCTCAGATCAGACTTTTAGCAAAATCAAGTTACGTAATTAATGTATTTTTTACACTAGTAAATCCCGCGACATGTTTTTAATCTTTAAATTGAGTAAAGTAATAAGTTGATGGGTTTGAAAGAATTTATGTTTTATTTTATTCTTTTTACAGCATCAAAAGCTTGTTTATGAAAATATTTACTATTTAAATTTTAC